CTTACACACAAAGACAATGAACCCCTTGCACACAGAAAACACACAATGCATTATACACACAATGCACATACTACTACAGAAACACACAATGCATTCCCTTACACACACTAATGCACCCCTTAAACACACCCAAAGCACCCCAGACTCACACACACTTCATCCCTTACATACACAGAAACACACCTTGCAGCCCTTACACATACAAACACAGATTCACACAATGCATTCCTTACACACAAATCAGGACATCCCCTACACACTCCATCCCCTGTGAACAAACTCATTGGTGGAAAATGAAGGTGGACCCTGGGACCCAGACCTTGAGCTGTGTAAAGGGCCCCCAAAAAATGGAGCTGCTTCTCGCTCTCCCAGAACATTGATTTGTGTGACCACAGTTACAAACAGCCTCCAGAGATCCTGTTATACACCAGACCAGTGGAGCCAGACTGCAGCTGCAGCTAGAGCCCATCATCATCCTCATCTGCTTGTAAGTAGGTAATCTAATATATTATTCGTGGCACTAATCTCTAATTTACCTCACATTAAAGAAACACTATAGTCCCCAGAACCACTGCAGCTTAATGTAGTGGTCCTGGTGTCTATAGCCTGTCCCTGCAGGCCTTTTAATGTAAACACAGCGGCACTGCAGCACTAGCGTTAGTTAACATGGCAGGTCATATGGGTGGGGCATTGTGATGTCACGGGTGGGGGTGGGCAGCAAACTTTACTTTTGCCTAGGGCGGCAAAAATCCTTGCACCAGCCCTGACAGTAGCTAATTGGCATACCCTCACCTTCACAGATTTTCATCTTTAATGTTAATTAGGTTAACATTAAAGTATGTTAATGAGGTTAACATTACAGTATGTCCTAACTTTAATGGGCTTTAATGCCTTTAGGGAATACTGACACATATTGCAGTCTTGGTGTGAGCAGGGTTTATCCATTCTCACACCAATGAGTAGGTATCAATGCACACCTGGTGCTCCCTTCTGTCATCTGCAGACATTTTTAGTGACCCGAGACTGACCGATGAGCCCTTTGCTGCAATGAAAGCAAGCACAGCTTAACCCCATAAGGACACATGACATGTGTGACATGTCCTGATTCCCTTTTATTCCAGAAGTTTGGTCCTTAAGGGGTTAAAAGCATTCATAATTCTACGGCTATGCAATCGTACTCAGCTGCAGTGTATCTGGAATGTAGGTTTGTAAAGTGAAAAGTGTCCAGGATTTGAATAAACCCTCAGAGGGCCTCTCTGCCTTTCCACAGCTGATTGAGATCAGTGCTTGACTATCCAGCTGCACAGCAACAATCTCAGTGTAATTGGTTAAGAAGCAGGCTCTATTCGTGATTTCATTAAATTTTATGATGAAAACGGCCAGTAGATGGTGGGCACAGTCCATAATCTATTGTTATTACAAGGAAACCCTTTTTTCATTTAAGAATTGATATTAGTAATTGACTGCAAATGTGCAAACGCTAGACTAACATAACTGCTCTACGATAAAAACAACTAAAACATTTTGTTTACTACTTCTACTATTACTTCTAAATTACATTTTCAATTTAGTTTGTTTAATGAAGTGTGAATTGCTGTAAATGTAAACTGAATGCAAGGTGAACTTTAAAGTTTAAACCACATAGTGGAATTGGAAAAAAATCTCCATATCGAGGTCTATGGCTCATCATGGACACTACTTGTATGTTTGCTTGTTTGTTAATAAAATATTTCACCAGGACAAGCAAATAATACATATTAGCAGAGTTATTTCTTAGCAATGAAGGGGGAAGTTATCATCATGGGTGACTTTAATCTTCCTGATGTGAATTGGAAAACAAAAATAGCTGCTTGTGCCAGGAGCACACATATTCTAAACTCCCTACTGGGATTATCTCTAAAACAAGTCATTGAGGAGCCAATTCGTAAAGAGGCCATACTAGATTTAGTGTTAACAAATGGAGATTTGGTATCAGATATTACTGTAGGTGAAAGTTTAGGATCCAGTGATCATCGGTCAGTGTGGTTTAATATAAGAACAGTGACTGAGTCACACCACACAAAAACAAAAGTTTTAGACTTTAAAAAACAGACTTTTCTAAAATTAGAATATGTGTAAAGGAGTCATTATCAGACTGGAGCCATTTAAATGGAGTTCAAGAGAAATGGGGTTATTTAAAAGTTGCACTGCTGAAGGCATTAGGCTCATCGGTAAAAGCAAAAAATTCAAGAAACCACTGTAATACTATGCAGATGTGGCCAAAATAGTAAAAACTAAAAGTTAGCATTTAGTAATTATAAAAAAAAACCAGAGTGAGGAAAGCAGAATGATCTATAAGATTAAATACCAAAAAATTATACTGCACTCAAAAAAAGCTTTAGATAAAGTTCATTACTTAATTTAATAATTCATTGTAATATTATATAGATATAATTCATTGATTACAAAAAAATATACTAAAAATAAATGAATTGAAATATATACACTTGAATCAAACAATATATCCTAATGGAAACAATACATTGTAAACCTATTAATATAACTGAACGTTACTAAAGATCCCTGACCACAGATTAATGAATCATCAAATTGATGCTGTATCGCTGTATCTTAGAGTCCAAAGGTCACATCCACAAAGAGGGGTAATAAAGAAAAAAAGAAAAAAAGAATAAAAGAGAAAAAAAAAAAAGGAAAAAAGGAAAAAAATATGAAAAAAGTGAAAAAAGGTAAAAAATACAAAATGAGAAAAAAAGTATATACAGTCCCAGTGTGTACACACTATAATATATGGGTGGATCTCACCACATTCTCCAAGGCTGTAAGTCCTATTTTGAAGATTGTGTATGTTTCTTCATAGATACATCGTGGTGCAATAGTGGATCCCTGTATGTCAATCTGTTGCTTCTCCCAAATTGTATGTTTTCAAATTGTACCAAATCTGGTACCTCCAGGAAGAGTGAGGGATTCTTTGCACATACAATTTGGGAGAAGCAACAGATTGACATACAGGGACTCCAAGCACTCCAACTGACACCATCAACACTGCAGACCCCACTTTCAGCGATGGAGCTGCGCCGGGGTCTCGCCGTCCTTCACCCACCCTGGACCCAAGGCCAGGATCCAGCTTCCAGTGGACAGACATCTCTTCCTCCAGAGAGCAGGAACAAGAACAGCTCTTACAAAAGCTTACCCTGGGGAGTATAGTGTGATTATAGCAAGCTCCAAAGTGTAGTTATCCCATCCCCCAAGCATGAGTCAAGGCTTCAGAAAGAGTCAAGCAGGTCTGTTTAATAAACACAAAAGGCTTCCTTTTATACAGGTTTTTACACACACAGTACCACCCACATGGTCTTGTGGAACAGCCAATCAAACACGTACAATACAGTCAGACACCCCCATTCATTACAGCAAAATCCTCCCCTCTGCCTGTGATATAATTACTGAACACAATGGGCTAAAGTAATTATCACAGGCAGGAAAATATACATTTTTTTTATACAATTCTTATAACTTCAAATTTACACATCACATTCAAATACAACTTACATTTTCAGAACAAGCATAACCAGGGGACAAACATATTAAAAAACCACCCGAATCTGTTAAGGGGTTCGGGAGATAAATATAAGTCACTTTTGACCGATCGCCAGCATGGCTTTCCTGCCCAAAAAGAGTTCCATATGGTTAGGCTGTGCGGTCAGTCTATCTTCTCCTTCAGATAAAGTACACTTTGCATGAATGGATCAGTTTGTGCATACTTTCATTGCAATCAGTTCATTCGACAGTTTATTCCCCGAAATTAGCACTCAGTTCGTATGGTTTTAGCCGAACGCACGGAAGATAGAAGGCTCAGTGGTGTTTGTGAAACTAGTAGCCGAAAAGTTAGACAACCAAACACTGCTGAGCACGTTCGGCTAAACAAAATGGCCACCGCCACATGTTCATTCATACGAACGCCGGCTACCCAGGCATTCGACAATTAAGCTGTGGTTAACCACAGCTTCTGGGTGGTTAACAGGCAGCACGCTCCACATGCAGGGTGGTCGGTCGTTTGACAGTTTGTTCGGTAAAACGAACCACATTAGAATAATCCATTCGACAGACTCCATTCACTGAAGCAGTGCAGGGAAAACATACGAACAACAGTTTTTCCCCAGTCCTGAAGTAGAGTTTAACACAGGGGCCATAGTCAGAAGGCAAGAGGCTAGCCATTAAACCTCTCCAGGCCCAAGTGGCGATGTTAATTTCGCCACACAAGTTATAAGAGCTTCCAAATCACACACAGAAGAGAAAATAGCCCAGTCAGTAAAAAAAGGGACAAAATATTTTGTAGATACATAAATGAGAAAAGGAAAGTAAAACAATGATTAGTTAGATTAAAAACCAAAGAAGGAAGGTATGTAGAAGAAGATAAAGTTCTAGCTGACTGCCTCAATTAATATTTTTGTTCAGTATTTACAGATGCAAATGAAGAAAACAGACCTCAGTTAGGAAAAGGGTCAAATGAGTCATTTATTACATGTGAGTTTACAGAGGAAGAGGTCCTATTTCAACTGTCAAAAGTAAAGACAAATAAGTCAATGGGACCTGATAGAATACACCCAAAGTTATTAAAAGAACTTAGTGGTGTACTAGAAAAACCATTAACAGATTTATTTAACCAAGTAGTCCCAGAAGATTGGAAGTTAGTAGAAAGGTAGTAGGAAGGAGTAGGGCAACTATAGGCCAGTAAGCCTTACTTCAGTTGTGGGGAAAGTAATGGAAACCATGTTAAGGGATAGGATTGTTTAACATCTAAAAACACATGGATTTCAAGATCAGAGACAACATGGGTTTACTTCAGGGAAATCATGCCAAACTAATTTTATTGATTTTTTTTGATTGGGTAACTAAAATAATATACATACAACACCCCTCGGTCCAGATAAAAACCAGACCGGGAGTGTAGAAAGAGGTTAAAGAGGTAGTTAAGGGCCTAACCCTAGGGGACAAAACTAGAAATGAAAAAACATATATGGGGAGGAGAGAGGACTCCACCAATCAGCGAGTCGGTCACCTCACCAATACTACCTCGTATGAAAATATCAGTTTGAAATTTAAACACAAAAATAATTAAAGTATTAGTAACCAGAAAAACTGATGGTTATATAAAATAGTGAAAATCACCCTGTAATTCCTGTAACGGATCACCTGGCACCCTGACTGGGTACCTCCATTGAAGGATGCTCCTAGCACTTCCTGAGGACTCCAAGCACTCTGGCAGACACCACAACCACCGAACCGGAGAAACAAATAAATTCTCCCAAGCATATGAATGCTGTAGACAGTTGAATAGGAACCATACGAATAGGTTTACTCTCCTAGCAGTCAAACTGGAACAGCATACAATAAATCCTTACCCCAATAATGAGACGACACTTCACTTTGAGGGTTAAAACAGGAACTCTCTGTAATGGCCACACACTGGCTTTTATGCAAGTCCCCATGCAAGGGGACATCCCACAGGGTGGGACACAGTACAACCAATCGTTACAGGGGAACCTTAAAACACACCCACATTTACATCACAATCCCTCCTCTCTGTCCAGGAGATAACTGTGAAGTAATCCAATTATCTCCCAGGACAGAGGCAAGACTCCATTAACCACATGGCAGTAATAATACAATAAAAGACATAAAATTACATACAGTTACATTTATTCCATAAAACATAGACATTCTACATATCCCCAGATAGCTTAGATCTGAGTGCACATTACTACCAAATGGCGCTCAGATCACATACATACAGTTCAATCGCCATGGAGCCAAAGTCTTTCAGTATACGGCTGGGCTCCATGGCATAGCTATCTGGGGTAGCATGGCTTTAACAGTCTACAGAAAGGCATGAATACGCTTTGCAGGGAAAATAAAAGGTTTTAACTGCCGAGCCATAGTCTAAAGGGAGCAGGCGAGCAACCAGGCTCCTCCAGTGGACAGTGGCGAGGCTGGTTTCGCCACATTTCTCCCCTTTACCATCCAGACTAACAGGGTATCTGACCTCCTGTCGTTCAGTGCCCTGGTTAGTCCAGCAACCCACCCACGAAGCACAAACAGCAGTACCTCCCACCAACAATAAATGTTTACTCCACCTGGATAAAGTAGCAGCTTGTCCAGGTCCAGGTTCCTCACCACGGCTGTGCGGGGAGCTGGTAGACTGCCTTGGTGGGTTGCTGAGTGGGCAGAGACCAGCGGTACTCTGCCCTGGTGCCAGCGCTACCACTGAAGTAACCTGGTTGGAGCCTGGTTGTGGGAGGGGGAGACTGACCTTCTCCCCTCTGGGTACACAGCTCTGGGGCTGGGGGACAGGACCGACCGTCCCTACCCCTTGTGCTGTAAGTGCAAAGACTACGGTCCCATCTGCACTGTTGGGGGGTGTAACATCTCCCCTTGGTGGGTTAGGCTGCCGCTGGAGAGAGGGTGTAACAAGCTCCTCTCTCTGAACTGTAACCTGCCGCTGGGGAGAGGGGGTAGCAGGCTCCTCTCCGTGACACTCTCTCTGCTGGTGGTGAGGGGGACCAGCTGTCTCCCCTTTCAATATTTTGTCCTGCTGCTGGGGTGCGAGACTGACAGTCTCTGCTCCCTGCAGGACACTCTGCTGCTGGGGAGGAAGGACGACACCTTCAGCTCCCTGGGATACAATCTGCAGCTGGGGAGGAAGGATGACACCTTCAGCTCCCTGGGACTCACTTGACCGCTGGGGAGAGGGACCAACTGTCTCCTCTCCTAAGAACACACACTGCCGCTGGGGAGGAAGGACGACACCTTCAGCTCCCTGGGATACACACTGCCGCTGGGGAGGAAGGACTGTACCTTCAGCTCCCTGGGATACACACTGCCGCTGGGGAGGAAGGACGGTACCTTCTGCTCCCTGGGGTACATACTGCCGCTGGGGAGGAAGGACGGTACCTTCTGCTCCCTGAGGCTATACACACTGCAGCTGGGAGGAAGGACTGCACCTTCAGCTCCCTGGGATACACCTGCAGCTGGGAGGACTGTACCTTCAGCTCTCTGGGTATACACACTGCAGCTGGGGAGGAAGGACTGCACCTTCAGCTCCCTGGTATACACACTGCCGGCGGGAGGAGGACTGCACCTTCAGCTCCCTGGGATACACACTGCGCTGGGGAGGAAGGACTGCCTTCAGCTCCCTGGGATACACACTGCTGCAGCTGGGGAGGAAGGACTGCACCTTCAGCTCCCTGGGATACACACTGCAGCTGGGGAGGAAGGACTGCACCTTCAGCTCCCTGGGACTTACTCTGCCGCTGGGGAGGAAGGACGACACCTTCAGTTCCCTGGGGTACACCTTTGAGTCCCCGTAACGCACTCTGCCACCGGATAGGGCGGCCGATACCTTTGGCTGGATCTGCCATGAACTGCAGGTACTCGTCTACCTGGCTCCTTACAAGCTGCACGTATTTCTCCGGGGGGTTGGGTCCAAAGAAAGCCAGCCGCATGGTAAACTCTCTGTCATACTGCTCCTGAGTGTAGCTGGGTGCCATGCTTGCGCTGCTGAAGTTGGTTCTTTTGTAGATAGGGTCGCTGTACGGGTACTGGCGTTGCCCTCAATTTGTAATCCAGGAACTGTGTCTCTGAGCTGCTTTACCTCGCACTAGGACGCCATCCCACCGCTGCCACCAATGTAACGGATCGCCTGGCACCCCGACTGGGTACCTCCGTTGAAGGATGCTCCTAGCACTTCCTGAGGACTCCAAGCACTCTGGCGAACTTCCCCAACCACCGAACGGAGAACAAATAAATTCTCCCAAACGCATATGAATGCTGTAGACGGTGAATAGGAACCATACGGAATAGGTTTACTCTCCTAGCAGTCAAACTGGAACAGCATACAATAAATCCTTCCCCCAATAATGAGACGACACTTCACTTTGAGGGTTAAACAGGAACTCTCTGTAATGGCCACACACTGGCTTTTATGCAAGTCCCCATGCAAGGGGACATCCCACAGGGTGGGACACAGTACAACCAATCGTTACAGGGGAACCATAAAACACACCCACATTTACATCACAATCCCTCCTCTCTGTCCAGGAGATAACTGTGAAGTAATCCAATTATCTCCCAGGACAGAGGCAAGACTCCATTAACCACATGGCAGTAACAATACAATAAAAGACATAAAATTACATACAGTTACATTTATTCCATAAAACATAGACATTCTACATATCCCCAGATAGCTTAGATCTGAGTGCACATTACTACCGAATGGCGCTCAGATCACATAAATACAGTTCAATCGCCATGGAGCCAAAGTCTTTCATACAGTCTTTCAGTATACGGCTGGGCTCCATGGCATAGCTATCTGGGGTAGCATGGCTTTAACAGTCTACAGAAAGGCATGAATACGCTTTGCAGGGAAAATAAAAGGTTTTAACTGCCGGGCCATAGTCTAAAGGGAGCAGGCGAGCAACCAGGCTCCTCCAGTGGACAGTGGCGAGGCTGGTTTCGCCACATTTCTCCCCTTTACCATCCAGACTAACAGGGTATCTGACCTCCTGTCGTTCAGTGCCCTGGTTAGTCCAGCAACCCACCCACGAAGCACAAACAGCAGTACCTCCCACCAACAATAAATGTTTACTCCACCTGGATAAAGTAGCAGCTTGTCCAGGTCCAGGTTCCTCACCACGGCTGTGCGGGGAGCTGGTAGACTGCCTTGGTGGGTTGCTGAGTGGGCAGAGACCAGCGGTACTCTGCCCTGGTGCCAGCGCTACCACTGAAGTAACCTGGTTGGAGCCTGGTTGTGGGAGGGGGAGACTGACCTTCTCCCCTCTGGGTACACAGCTCTGGGGCTGGGGGACAGGACCGACCGTCCCTACCCCTTGTGCTGTAAGTGCAAAGACTACGGTCCCATCTGCACTGTTGGGGGGTGTAACATCTCCCCTTGGTGGGTTAGGCTGCCGCTGGAGAGAGGGTGTAACAAGCTCCTCTCTCTGAACTGTAACCTGCCGCTGGGGAGAGGGGGTAGCAGGCTCCTCTCCGTGACACTCTCTCTGCTGGTGGTGAGGGGGACCAGCTGTCTCCCTTTTCAATATTTTGTCCTGCTGCTGGGGTGCGAGACTGACGGTCTCTGCTCCCTGCAGGACACTCTGCCGCTGGGGAGGAAGGACGACACCTTCAGCTCCCTGGGATACAATCTGCAGCTGGGGAGGAAGGATGACACCTTCAGCTCCCTGGGACTCACTTGACCGCTGGGGAGAGGGACCAACTGTCTCCTCTCCTAAGAACACACACTGCCGCTGGGGAGGAAGGACGACACCTTCAGCTCCCTGGGATACACACTGCCGCTGGGGAGGAAAATAGTGAAAATCACCCTGTAATTCCTGTAACGGATCACCTGGCACCCCGACTGGGTACCTCCATTGAAGGATGCTCCTAGCACTTCCTGAGGACTCCAAGCACTCTGGCAGACACCACAACCACCGAACCGGAGAAACAAATAAATTCTCCCAAGCATATGAATGCTGTAGACAGTTGAATAGGAACCATACGAATAGGTTTACTCTCCTAGCAGTCAAACTGGAACAGCATACAATAAATCCTTGCCCCAATAATGAGACGACACTTCATTTTGAGGGTTAAAACAGGAACTCTCTGTAATGGCCACACACTGGCTTTTATGCAAGTCCCCATGCAAGGGGACATCCCACAGGGTGGGACACAGTACAACCAATCGTTACAGGGGAACCATAAAACACACCCACATTTACATCACAATCCCTCCTCTCTGTCCAGGAGATAATTGTGAAGTAATCCAATTATCTCCCAGGACAGAGGCAAGACTCCATTAACCACATGGCAGTAACAATACAATAAAAGACATAAAATTACATACAGTTACATTTATTCCATAAAACATAGACATTCTACATATCCCCAGATAGCTTAGATCTGAGTGCACATTACTACCGAATGGCGCTCAGATCACATAAATACAGTTCAATCGCCATGGAGCCAAAGTCTTTCATACAGTCTTTCAGTATACGGCTGTGCTCCATGGCATAGCTATCTGGGGTAGCATGGCTTTAACAGTCTACAGAAAGGCATGAATACGCTTTCCAGGGAAAATAAAAGGTTTTAACTGCCGGGCCATAGTCTAAAGGGAGCAGGCGAGCAACCAGGCTCCTCCAGTGGACAGTGGCGAGGCTGGTTTCACCACAATTCCCAAGTGAAGAATAAAAGACCGCTAAAACTAAATACTAAAAGTAACAAATGAGAGAGCCCTTAACAAGATGTAACAGTAGCAATCTCTGTAGCTATCCAAAAGGTGCTGACAATAATAAGTAAATATTGTTTGCAACTCAGTAGAGACCTGTATTCCCAATGGTAGGGATGTATCAGAAAGAAGTAGATATCAGCTGTAGATATTGGCTCAATTATAATAAATTAACCATTACTAAAGCAAAAGGAGAGAATGTGCTGAACCTTCACTAAATAGAACAGTGTGGACACTGAAAATAGGTTCCCCCAAGTGGTCCCCCACTTGGCATTATATTAGGAGGAGTATCAGGAGGAGGAAAGACAAGGAGTTCAGTTTTAAAGAGATTGAGTTTCAAAAAGCCTGAGGACAGCCAATCAGAGATAGAAGAATGGCAAGCAGTGGCACGATGCAGAAAGGCATGGAAGAGGTCAAGGGAGGAAATGTATATCTGAGTGTCATCAGTGTACAGGTGGTATTTGAATCCAGATGAGGTAATAAGTTTGACAAGAGAGGCAGTATAAAGAGAAAATAAAAGGAGACCAAGTAAGGAGCCTTGGGGGACTCCAACAGAGACAGGACGAAGGAATGAGGTATCATTAGAAAAGGAGAAACTGAATGAGTGTTGGGAAAGATAGGAGGAAAACTGTCACGTATTCATCCACACATAAAAATGTGGTTATTGGCATTTACTGTCCTGACAGGAAAAGTTGTGCCAAGCAACATTACTGTCCTGACAGGTGATGTTGTGCCAATCAGCAATCATGCACATGGAAACCTGGTAATTACTTTTGGGGTCAAAGGTCGGTCATGGCCAATCAAATCCACAGCTGCGCAGCAATCATGCACACCTGGTAATTGCCTTTGGGGTCAAAGGCCGGTTACAGCCAATTGGATCCAGAGGAGGGGTATTTAAACCCAACTCTCCTCCTGTTCATTGCCCTGCTGTGGTTTCATGCCTATGGATCTTGATTTTCCGGTATTTGACTTTGGCTTTGTTTTGACTTCCCTGATATATGGTATCCTTGACTTTTGGCTTTCCCTCATCTTTGTGTCTGATTCTGTGTCCCTGACCTCGGCAAGTATTTTGACTATTCTTGGAGACGTTAATTTTGGCCATTCTAAGGTCCGGTTATACGTTATCTTTAGTCCTAGGTGTGACACAGTACTGCGGGCTGGATCAACTTGTAATCCTGACAAAAACCAAGAGAGGACAGTGTCCAGAGACCAAGTGATTGAAGAGTTTGGAGAAGAAGAACAGTGTCAAAGGCAGCAGAGAGGTCAAGAAGAATTAGAATGGAGTAGTGCCCTTCAGATTTAGCTGTGATTAGGTAATTAGTGACTCTAATAAGAGCAGTCTCAGTAGAGTGGAGTGGAGGGGATGAAGAGGGTCAAGGAGAGAGTTGGAAGTCAGACGGGTAAAGACCAGTCTTTCCAGAAACTTTGAGGAAAATGGGAGCAGGGATATGGGACGATAGTTAGAAGGGTAGGACGTGTCAAGAGATTTTTTTTTTATTATTCTTTATTTTTGTTGTGCAAATAGTAACATACACGCTTGTTGCACCACAACAGCAGGACAAATGAAAACACAGTATAAGATTATAACATGGCATACAGAGCAACTGCACAAATTTTATAGTTAAGGTGTTCTAGCAGGCAAGCTAAGTACCGTAAATTAGGTAAATGACAAGCCAATAAACACGTCAGAGAATATGTCATTGGTATTCAAACATGCTTATAAGATCATGTAAGCAAGAGTGAGTAGGGAAAAAAAAGGAAAAAGAAGGTGTCAAAGTAACATGACATGATGAAAATGCTGCAGGATATGAATATGACATGCTAGAATAATGTAAAAGCTAATAGGTAGCCCACCTTCAAGTTTGATGATCTCAGCTAATGTGAAAAACATACTCATAGGATTTCAAAAGCAACAAGATAATGTCATTTGTTTTTTACAGCTGTGCAACAGCAAACATTCACCATTTCAGTCCCATTACCAAACTTTTCTTAATATATCAAAATAGTCGGACTGAAACATTGGACTGAAAACTTAAATATTTGTTTTTTGTGACCCACATAAACTTAAACCTGGTTTATTTGGCCCATGTTAGCCTTTGAGTTTGACAGGCTTGCTGTACAGTAAAGAGGATATAAATTTATATTATTGGATAAGGCTGGAATTGTGTTGAGTTGAAAATTGACTTATAAAATGTTATAGTGGTGATTTTTGTTTCTATCATAAGTATATTTAATTTTTAAACTTTTCCTGCATAAGCATATTCTTTGTTTCCCATCCTTTTTGTCTCATTCAAAATAAATGGCTACATGATTATCATTTACATTTTAGAACAAATTTGCAGCTGAAAGGACCACTGTAGTGCCAGGAAAACAAACTCGTTTTCCTGGCAATATAGTGCCCTCAGGGTGCCCCCACCCTCATGGCCCCCCTCCCGCTGGGCTGAAGTTAGAGGAAGGGGTTAAACACTTACTCTCCTCCCTCTTCGGCTGAATGTGCATGAGCAGCGAGAGCCACGCGCGCGTTCAGTCAGTCCATACGAAAGCATTCTTAATGTTTCCTATGGACGCTGGCGTCTTCTCACTGTAAAAATCGCAGTGAGAAGCACGGAAGTGCCTCTAGTGGCTGTCAATGAGACAGCCACTAGAGGCTGGATTAACCCTATTGTAAACATAGCAGTTTCTCTCAAACTGCTATGTTTACAGCACGCAGGGTTAAACCAAGAGGGACCTGGCACCCAGACCACTTCATTGAGCTGAAGTGGTCTGGCTGCCTATAGTGGTCCTTTAATGTCCGATGATTCGTGTTCTATGTAAAGCTAAAGTGGTCTTGAATGTCCCCTAAGGAATCCATTATAACATAGCATTTCCTTTATTAAAAAAAGAAAACATCATAAAATGAAATTGTTTGAGTTTACATAATCATACAACTACAACAATCCTCAATGTTAATAAAATCAAACATACCTCGATCACCACTGTATCATTTAGCAGACACGATGTCTTTACACATTCTCCACAGCATTTTGAATCCTTTGTAACATATGTATATCCCTGCAGGACAAGTAGAATATATATTCCTGTCATTTTGATACAACAATGTATGACCAAGGATTAAAAAGAAGGTGTTAAAGGGAGATTGTAACTTCTCTGGTATTTATACCAATAAAATGAGGTGATTCATTTTCTTTTAAATATATTAAAGGAACACACTGGAGTGAATTTACCATTTTTTCAGAGGTGAGAAAGTTACTCTCCACCTCTTCTCTTCACCTCTGGGAGATTTCTAGATAATATACCTACCAATCCAATTCTTTATAGAGAAGTTCACGTGGAGAAGACCTCTGATCCACTTTGTGCTAGTGCTCAAAGTCATAAGGAAAAGCATGCTCCTTCCTGCCTGACTGACGATAAGGTGAAACTCAATAGACTTACTAAAACGTGGTAATTTTTCCTGAATTCAACCCTTTATTTAAAATGAGAAAGCAGGGACACTTTGTTAATGCTTAAAGTTTTTCAACAAGCTAATATGCTTTAGGGGTTTGTAGTACGTTTTCCTAAATAACAGCTGTCAAAGTTTCTCCTTTTTTTTAAATTTATTACATTTACTGAAATGTCCTTTTTTTAAAGATGCATATTGTTTTTGTTAAAGAAAATGTCACTTTTTTTGTCTGACAGAGAAGCCATGTTGGATTCCACTGATGCTACACCTAATATGACTGCTGCTGCAGTTTCACATTGAACAATCACAGCAGCAAGGAAGTTAGGTTGCACAGCAGTTGGTCAGATAACAACAGAGTCTGACACAACATGGCTGCTAAGCTAGATAAAAAGTGAAATGTTATTTTTTTATTATGATTTTTTTTTATGGTTTTCATATTAGTTTCATTCAAATATTCAAACAAATATATGTACACATACATAGAACATACCAAAAACATAGTTAACATATTATCTTGTTTGTATCTATTACATCTGATTTTAAAGTGCTGTATTATGGCTCCTTAATACAGCTTACAGCTATTAGTTAATAGCTATTTTTCGATACTTCCTTTCATTTTACTTTATATATCTTAGATACATATTTAAAGCTGTTACATACTCTTCTATCAGACTTACTCCATATCATATAAACATAATTACACACCAACAGGAAGTGTTTTGGGGGATCGCCTATCTTGTGAATGGAAAGCTTAAAACAGACTTAGTACTACATGTACACGTGTATATAGATATATTCTCATAACCGTCTAATAGAGAAATAGTCTACCATCCCAGATGTATCCACCTTGGGGTAGACAAATACGCTCGTCTATACAGGGAGTGCAGAATTATTAGGCAAGTTGTATTTTTGAGGATTAATTTTATTATTGAACAACAACCATGTTCTCAATGAACCCAAAAAACTCATTAATATCAAAGCTGAATATTTTTGGAAGTAGTTTTTAGTTTGTTTTAGTTTTAGCTATGTTAGGGATACCGCAGTGTGCAGGTGATCAGTTACTGTGCATAATTATTAGGCAACTTAACAAAAACAAATATATACCCATTTCCTCAATTATTTATTATTACTAGAAAACCAATATAAATATCTCAACATTCACAAATATATACATTGATATTCAAAACAAAACAAAAAAAAACAAATCTCAGTGAATCTTCAATATAGCTACCTTTCTTTTGTAAGGACACTCAAAAAGCCTGCCATCCATGGATTCTGTCAGTGTTTCTTTGATCTGTTCACCATCAACATTGCGTGTGTAGCAGCAAACTACAGCCTCCTGTGACACACTGTCTGGTAGGTGTACTGTTTTCCTCCTTGTAAATCTCTACATTTACGAGGGGACCAGGTTCCTCACAATGGGGGTCTAGACTCAAAGTGAACAGGGAGGCCATGTCATTAGATTTTCTTCTTTTATACCCTTTCTTGCCAGCCACGCTGTGGAGTACTTGGACGCGTGTGATGGAGCATTGTCCTGCATGAAAATCATGTTTTCTTGAAGGATGCAGACTTCTTCCTGTACCACTGCTTGAAGAAGGTGTCTTCCAGGAACTGGCAGTAGGGCTGGGAGTTGAGCTTGACTCCATCCTCAACCCGAAAAGGCCCCACAAGCTCATCTTTGATGATACCAGCCCAAACCAGTACTCCACCTCCACCTTGCTGGCGCCTGAGTCGGACTGGAGCTCTCTGCCCTTTACCAATCCAGCCACGGGCCCATCCATCTGGCCCATCAAGACTCACTCTCATTTCATCAGTCCATAAAACCTTAGAAAAATCAGTCTTGAGATATTTCTGGCCCAGTCTTGACGTTTCAGCTTGTGTGTCTTGTTCAGTGGTGGTCGTCTTTCAGCCTTTCTTACCTTGGCCATGTCTCTGAGTATTGCACACCTTGTGCTTTTGGGCACCCCAGTGATGTTGCAGCTCTGAAATATGGCCAAACTGGTGGCAAGTGGCATCGTGGCAGCTGCACGCTTGACTTTTCTCAGTTCATGGGCAGTTATTTTGCGCCTTGGTTTTTCCACACGCATCTTGCGACCCTGTTGACTATTTTGAATGAAACGCTTGATTGTTCGATGATCACGCTTCAGAAGCTTTGCAATTTTAAGAGTGCTGCATCCCTCTGCAAGATATCTCACTATATTTGACTTTTCTGAGCCCGTCAAGTCCTTCTTTTGACCCATTTTGCCAAAGGAAAGGAAGTTGCCTAATAATTATGCACACCTGATATAGGGTGTTGATGTCATTAGACCACACCCCTTCTCATTACAGAGATGCACATCACCTAATATGCTTAATTGGTAGTAGGCTTCGAGCCTATACAGCTTGGAGTAAGACAACATGCATAAAGAGGATGATGTGGTCAAAATACTCATTTGCCTAATAATTCTGCACTCCCTGTAGAGACAAAGGAATTGGCTTTTGAAACATTGGGAAGTAGTTTTCCTTCATGTTGTAAACTCAGCCCATGTCCTGGACCCTGATGATAGGGGATAGTCTTGTCATGCAAAAGCTTGGTAACGGGTCCCAGGGATCGTCTCCAAATGATAGTAAAATGGGGAAAGTCTCCATAAAAAGCACAAACATGTCCCTCAAAGGCATGGTTCAGAAAGGATGTAGGAACATCCATTACTGTAACCACATGCAGAACCGAACCAGAAGGTCCCTGGGGACATAGTTGGTGCTCTGTCAATTTTTGCCACGCTAAAGTGGGAGTCCACTGCTATGGCCTTAGACTTAGATGAGGACAGTAGGGCAGTCTATATTTTTCTAATCATATGATATGTAGCTGCCTAATGGTTTTCCCAATTTGAGGTTCCCCACAGACAGCTGCCGAGGTTGGAAGAAAATCAAGGTCATCCATAGCACTGACTTCTGAAGAGGTTGGAGACGGCTCCCTCATGGCGCCATTTTAACCTAGTTGGTTTACGGCAACGATCGAGGCCTTCTTCTCGATGTGCCGCGTAAGGGTTGGTGAGACTACCGCCACTTAGCCCAGTTGAGCTGCTGACATTCTCTTGGTCTTTTGCTTTACGTGGGCTCCGAGGAAGTTGGAGATGGCACCATCTTAGACATATGTGGACATGGGACCTGGTGGAGCAACTCCCTTATACTGATAGATTTAGAGTGAATGTTGTTCTTTGCTTTCTTAGAGTGTTGTCCCAATGTTGCCCCAAATAATGAATGCCAAAATCGCCTTAAAAGTGAAGGTTCTGGAAGTTCATTTGATTAGGAAGTCAGTTTTTCTCAGAGCAACTGCACAAAACATCTGCTCTGTTCGAGCACTGACTCTGCTCCTCCTTTTATAGCACTTTTAATTGTTGATCTGGGCAAGACATGATGGGCCATTAATGGGGTACATGACATCAGGGCAGGATTTCCTATAAGTCACGCAAGACATTTTCCTCTGTTGTCCAATATTAGGCATTGCCTAGTCGATACGCCTCGGAGCAAATAGGATGTAAATCCAGCCATGGACATAATGCTCTGGACAATACATAGCTGAAATATAAAACAAAAACATGGTTACAGGTTAAATTTATTTAGGAATAACAAGTAAAGTGATAATACACAGTTAAGGTGTTTACACTACAAGTTACTCATCTATGTTAATATCATTCTCTCTAGTTTCAAGCCAGCATTGAGGGCAAGCTCCCTGCATACAACGTGCGCATCTCTTTGCCAGCTCCAGCCAAGCAGGATATATACGGTAAGAAAGCCAGGCACATATATAATGGTCACAGGGACATAGAGAGTGATGCTGTGGGGGTCAAATACTGAATGCAGGATATAACACATATTATTCCTGAAACCGCTATAGTTGATACAGGGCATACGCAGTCTGCCACCTCTAGGGTTAGTACAGGGTATACACAGTCTGATATCTCTAGGGTTAGTACAGGGTATACACAGTTTGATATCTCTAGGGTTAGTACAGGGTATACACAGTCTGATATCTCTAGGGTTAGTACAGGGTATACACAGTCTGATATCTCTAGGGTTAGTACAGGGTATACACAGTCTGATATCTCTAGGGTTAGTATAGGGTATACACAGTCTGATATCGCTAGGGTTAGTACAATGTATACACAGTCTGATATCTCTAGGGTTAGTACAGGGTATACACAGTCGGATATCTCTAGGGTTACTACAGGGTATACACAGTCTGATATCTCTAGGGTTAGTACAGTGTATACACAGTCTGATATCTCTAGGGTTAGTATAGGGTATACACAGTCTGATATCTCTAGGGTTAGTATAGGGTATACACAGTCGGATATCTCTAGGGTTAGTACAGGGTATACACAGTCGCATATCTCTAGGGTTAGTATAGGGTATACACAGTCGGATATCTCTAGGGTTAGTACAGGGTATACACAGTCGGATATCTCTAGGGTTAGTACAGGGTATACACAGTCTGATATCTCTAGGGTTAGTATAGGGTATACACAGTCGGATATCTCTAGGGTTAGTATAGGGTATACACAGTCTGATATCTCTAGGGTTAGTACAGGGTATACACAGTCTGATATCTCTAGGGTTAGTACAGGGTATACACAGTCTGATATCTATAGGGTTAGTACAGGGTATACACAGTCTGATATCTCTAGGGTTAGTACAGGGTATACACAGTCTGATATCTCTAGGGTTAGTACAGGGTATACACAGTCGGATATCTCTAGGGTTAGTACAGGGTATACACAGTCTGATATCTCTAGGGTTGGTATAGGGTATACACAGTCTGATATCTCTAGGGTTAGTACAGGGTATACACAGTCTGATATCTCTAGGGTTAGTACAATGTATACACAGTCTGATATCTCTAGGGTTAGTACAGGGTATACACAGTCTGATATCTCTAGGGTTAGTATAGGGTATACACAGTCTGATATCTCTAGGGTTAGTACAGGGTATACACAGTCTGATATCTCTAGGGTTAGTACAGGGTATACACAGTCTGATATCTATAGGGTTAGTACAGGGTATACACAGTCTGATATCTCTAGGGTTAGAACAGGGTATACACAGTCGGATATCTCTAGGGTTAGTATAGGGTATACACAGTCTGATATCTCTAGGGTTAGTACAGGGTATACACAGTCTGATATCTCTAGGGTTAGTACAGGGTATACACAGTCTGATATCTCTAGGGTTAGTATAGGGTATACACAGTCGGATATCTCTAGGGTTAGTATAGGGTATACACAGTCTGATATCTCTAGGGTTAGTATAGGGTATACACAGTCTGATATCTCTAGGGTTAGTAGAGGGTATACACAGTCTGATATCTCTAGGGTTAGTACAGGGTATACACAGTCTGATATCTCTAGGGTTAGTACAGGGTATACACAGTCTGATATCTCTAGGGTTAGTACATGGTATACACAGTCTGATATCTCTAGGGTTAGTACAGGGAATACACAGGCTGCTATCTCTAGGGTTAGTACAGGGTATACACAGTTTGATATCTCTAGGGTTAGTACAGGGTATACACAGTCTGATATCTCTAGGGTTAGTACAGGGTATACACAGTCTGATATCTCTAGGGTTAGTATAGGGTATACACAGTCTGATATCTCTAGGGTTAGTATAGGGTATACACAGTCGGATATCTCTAGGGTTAGTATAGGGTATACACAGTCGGATATCTCTAGGGTTAGTATAGGGTATACACAGTCTGATATCTCTAGGGTTAGTAGAGGGTATACACAGTCTGATATCTCTAGGGTTAGTAGAGGGTATACACAGTCTGATATCTCTAGGGTTAGTATAGGGTATACACAGTCTGATATCTCTAGGGTTAGTACAGGGTATACACAGTCTGATATCTCTAGGGTTAGTACAGGGTATACACAGTCTGATATCTCTAGGGTTAGTACAGGGTATACACAGTCTGATATCTGTAGGGTTGGTATAGGGTATACACAGTCTGATACCTCTAGGGTTGGTACAAGGTATACACAGTCTTATATCGCTAGGGTTGACACAGGGTATACACAGAACTCTACAGTTTATACAGGGTATACACAGTCTGATATCTCTAGGGTTAGTATAGGGTATACACAGTCTGATATCTCTAGGGTTAGTACAGGGTATACACAATTTGCCACCTCTATGGTTGGTACAGGGTATAAGCAGTCTGCCACCTCTATGGTTAGTACAGGGTATACACAGTCTGCCACCTCTATGGTTGGTACAGGGTATACACAATTTGCCACCTCTATGGTTGGTACAGGGTATAAGCAGTCTGCCACCTCTATGGTTGGTACAGGGTATACACGGTCTGGCACCCTTAGGGTTGGTAGATGGTATACACAAACCGCTATGTTTGGTACAGGGCATACATTCTTCTTATGCCAACATTAAATTCTTTGTTTATCCACCTTGTAACAGATGATGAAGACAGTGGTGATGATGAAGGGGATGTTGTGACTCGAGCAGCATTAAAGAGGCAGTCACAGCAAATCGTAGAATCAAAGACCAAACGGCGAACCCGGCCTAAGAAGAAACGAGGAAAGCAGTAAAGGAAAAGGAAAGCAGATCCTACAAACACAGTTTCCCTGACATTCTGCTACCAACAACATCCATCATCATATCACTCAATCTTAGCAATTCCAATCCTTCTCAGTCCTTTTCCAACAACGTAATCCTGTTCTCTTTATCCACTTCTACCTCCAATTCTCTTCTACAGGTCTTCTTTACGGTGGTTTCATTCTTGCAGAACGCAGTGCTTTCCTACAAGACTTTGCCCAAATATCCATTCTTTTAAAAATGTCTTAAACAACTACTATCCTACTAACTGTGTAACTCTTCTCTTCCTACCTATTTACTACATCTTGCCACATTGTGTCCTCCTACGAAATGTGCATGGTCTGCTGACGTTAACTTTTCATTGTCTATGTAGACAGGTTTATCAAGATTCAGACTGAAGACACGACCATCTTTCTTCCCTTTGCATATCTTTCATATTTCCTTTTTCATAAATATACTCCCTTTAATTACATTTTACACTCTCTTAACCCATTGTGATAATCTGTTTTACATTTGCCCAAAATTATTTGTCAGAATTTACAGATTTGTAGTAAATAATATTTTATTGAAGAAGACACATCACATTTCAAGATTTAAGCAACAATATAAGGCATTTACTTTTTTTTTTTTTTTTGAATTCTTTATTTTTGGTCTGACGAAGAGGTCAACACAGAAATATGCAGGTGTACATATGCAAGTGACAGCGCAGTGTCGTACATTTTTACAGAATGAAAGTTGCATTGGTTATTTTAAACACTTTACCGACACTTTATATCCTGCGGACGTCCCCGTCCGATATTTTCGGTTATGTTGGCAAGCACAATTAACTATATACAATGGTGGTAGTGTGGAGGGGTAGGCGTAGGGAGTAGAGCAGCAGTCCCAGACCTCTCAGGGCCCGCGACTGCTCCCCCGACTTCCCCCATTGTCTGCAGAGCATAAGCGTACTGAAGCCTGACTCCTCTTTCACCAGCTTGCGAGTCTGGAGTGCCTGCTTGTAATAAGTAGGTAGGGGTGAGAGATAGGAAAGTATAGACAAGTAAATGCGTTTAGGTGTCGTCTTAATATGGTTTCCCGAGGGACCAGTAGCAGAGGTCCCCGGGTTCCCCGGGTAGCACTCCGTGTGGTGTGTGTGTCCGTGCCCCTGTCCCATAGTGGCGCCGCTTCCACCGGTCCAGGCGCTGGTGTAGTGTTTAGCATTGGGTATGTCCCAATTATTGCCATTTTTGCGGAGCTCCCGCATGCCGCCCTACGCCCCGATTCAGGATTTAACTGTCGTATTGCTCCCACAGGTCCCAGACCTTCTGAAACTTAGTCATAGTGTAAGGCATTTACTTTTTAAAAAAGCATAGTGGTCAATACCAGGGTAAAGTGCATATCAGCCCATCTTCATTAGTACAATAGAGCCACCACCAATTACACGCTGAAGTAGATTTCGGCACAAAATGTCTCATGAGAAATATGAAAGTCCCAGTGTTCAGTGTGTGCTTGCAGGAATAGCAACCGTTAAAAAATATGGAAAAGTATTTTAGAGAGACACGGAAAGAGATATAAGTGAGGAGAAAAATAATTAGGTAGAAAGCAAAAAAAGATAAATGGCTGATTCTGAAACACTTCCGATATTTGAACAACATTCAGTGATAATATTATATGGGCAATATCTGCTCCACCTGGGCACCGTAGGGCCTGCAATACCATGGTACAGACCAAAAAGCAGACAAATAAATGACATATATAACAGTTGTGCGTCTTTCGGACACATTGTCTAGCGGTGGGTCTGATGTCCCATTTCCAGATACACACAAACCAACACAGTAAATTACTGCCTATCAGAAAGTCCTTCTCTGACAAGCAACCCCGATTGGCTAACAGATAGATTAGAGGTAGTGAGGGACAAGCACTACTGACAGGTATACTGTATAGGTGGGTACTGGTTCCCAGGGTCCCCTTCTGTGAACCCTAAAAGTACACAAAATAAACAATAATGGAGCTGCAAAACCTAAGGTCTCAGTGAAGATGTTTTGACCAAATCACACGTTCTTCATCAAGCTTGACCATGTGGGCAGCTCCACTCTGTTGGAATAAGCTCCTTCACTGAGTCCATTATTCTTAATTTTGTGGCTAACAGATAGGGCTGTCTATTGCGCTATCCCATAAACCACGCAATATTAGGAAGATCGCATTCAAAATATGCAGCGCATTTTCACCTCTAAAAATGACAACTACAATAAACTTCACAGGTTAGAATCCCTCCATGGTTTTCTCGTTTTATATTCACACACATCTTCCTGATGTGCTGCATGGAACATGCTTCTTTCTTGGCCTTCCCAAATCCTTGCTTTTATACTCCATAAATTATTCTGTTTACAGGTTTGTTTGGTTTTTTTTGCTCACTTTCATTTTCTTAGCTTTTAGCTCCCCGTACTTATTTCACCCTCCCCCTTTCCACTCTAGCTATCATCTACGTAAATCTCACAAAGTGCAAGGGCAAAGCAGGGGCTACGGGATCAGCATCTGACAGTGTGTGATGTTATTGGGGTGAAAGATGCTGTGGGAATAAAAAGTTCTGACGTCATCGATGAAGCGGGTTTATGCTGACATATGATGGCCTTTCTGTTTTGAGTGATAAATAATAAATAGAGATTATTCACCAAACTTCTTTTCTCATTTTTATAAAGCAAAATGTCTTAAGTGCCATGTAACATCTTATTACCGTAACCCTGCTCCAGAGTGCCTTATTACCTCTGTAACGTCTTCTTACAGTAACCCGGCTCCTGAGTGCCTTATTACCCTGTAACATCTTATTACAGTAACCCGGCTCCTGAGCGCCTTATTACCCTGTAACATCTTATTACAGTAACCCGGCTCCTGAGTGCCTTATTCAGTCTGAGTGCCTTATTCAGTCTTCTTAAAGTAACCCGGCTCCTGAGTGCCTTATTACCCTGTAACATCTTATTACAGTAACCTGGATACTGAGTGCCTTATTACCCTGTAACATCTTATTACAGTAACCCAGCTCCTGAGTGCCTTATTACTCTGTAACATCTTATTACAGTAACCCGGCTCCTGAGTGTGTTATTGCCCTGTAACATCATATTACAGTAACCCGGCTCCTAAATGTCTTATTACCCTGTAACATCTTATTACAGTAACCCGGCTCCTGAGTGTGTTATTGCCCTGTAACATCATATTACAGTAACCCGGCTCCTAAATGTCTTATTACCCTGTAACATCTTATTACAGTAGCCTGGCTCCTGAGTGCCTTATTATCCTGTAACATATTATTACAGTAACCCGGCTCCTGAGTGCCTTATTACCCTGTAACATCTTATTACAGTAACCCGGCTCCTGAGTGCCTTATTACCCTGTATTATAATTACCGTGTAACATCTTATTACAGTAACCCGACTCCTGAGCGCCTTATTACAGTAACCCGGCTCCTGAGCGCCTTATTACTCTGTAACATCTTATTACAGTAACCCGGCTCCTGAGCGCCTTATTACCTCTGTAACGTCTTATTACTGTAACCCGGCTCCTGAGTGCCTTATTAACTCGGTAACGTCTTATTACTGTAACCCGGCTCCTGAGTGCCTTATTACCCCGTAACATCTTATTACAGTAACCCGGCTCCTGAGTGACTTATTACCCCCTGTAACATCTTATTACAGTAACCCGGCTCCTGAGTGCCTTATTACCTCTGAAACGTCTTATTACAGTAACCCGGTTCCTGAGTGACTTATTACCCCCTGTAACATCTTATTACAGTAACCCGGCTCCT